TGCACACATATCACCACTATATAAAGCTGGTGACCCAGCAGTTCCTACTCACTTCCGTTTCATTTCCCTCCTCCCAAACCTGTATTTGAGAAGCTGGTGCAGAAGGAACTGGTATCAGTCATGAACATCACAAAGTCACTACCCTCCACTTAGTTTGCAGTTTGCAGCAACCATTCCACTGAGGATGCACTAGCTCTCATCACCAGCCGTATCCTTACTGCCCGGGACAAACGAATGTACACAGGTGTGTGCTTACTGGACATGTCCAAAGCATTATTTTGATAAAGTTAGACATCACCAACTAATTCTCTACCTTTTTCAATGTTGGCGTCACAGCCACAGCCCTGCGGTGGTTCATGTCTTATCTCTCCGAAGGGACCCAGCGTGTCTGTGTCGGACCATCACGCAGTACTATCACTCGCTGCACATGCGGAGCGCCACAGGGATTTATGTCTTCAATGGAACTCCTGTCGAGGAGCAGCCCTCCGTCAAAGTACTCGGCGTCACGTTTGACCATCAGCTAAAATTCAGCCAGCATATCCGAACTGTTGTAGTCCGAGCAACGCAGAGACTTGGAGCCTTGCGCAATGCATTTCACTTGCTGACTATTCCTGCCCGGCTTCGAGCCTACAAAGCCTTTGTCCGGCCGGTTATGGAGTACTGCCCAATCGTCTGCATGGGGGCAGCTCCTTCCCACTTGAATCGGCTGGACTGGGTGCAGGAGCGAGCCATCAAGGCAATACATCCGCAATGCTGGCTTCCTAGCCTCATAATTCGCCGCACCATCGCTGCCCTCTGCCTCCTGTATAAAGCCCGTTGCGATAATTCTCCCGCTCTTCTCTCGAGAATGGCTCCACCCCGACACACCAACCCAGGACCACACGCCTCACCCGCCAGGCTGTACGACTGTCCACCGCGCATCCCCATCAGTTACAGAATGTTCTTCCTGCCAATTCCCGGAACAATGTGAGCCGAGCCTTTCCCCACTCCGTCATCCCAATTTGGAACCAGCTGCCTACCTCTATCATTCCCCACCTATTTCACCCAAAGAACATCCAAAAGTTCAAGACAGCAGCTTATCACCATCTCCTCAGAACGAACTGGCACTGGGCCACTCATAGCATACGCGAGTAAGAGGGTACAGTGTCCTACCCTGCTTGGACATACATGTTATCTCTCCTCACGGGCAGTCTCCTCTTGAATTTAAAAGTCTAACAGCGTTCACATCAATACTCAACTTATTCTTTTGCTCACTGAGCAATACAATCTTTCCATTTTCTTTCTTCTGTTTTCTTTTTCAATTTAATCCTCCCCACCCAATATCCCTTTGGTGCGTCCATGGAGCTATGAAGCCGAGACCTCTGGTCGGCGGAGCTTAATGGGCCCCACCACCACACTCCATCATTCACCCCAGTGTCTGGAGATATGTGGATTTTGTAGAAAAAAAAAAAAAAAAAACGTGAAAAGAGACTTTGTGAAGAAGAAGAACAAGAAGAAGGAGAAGAAGAAGAAGAGTAAGAAGGGGGGGGAAAACTGTGTCATCAACTCGATAATGTTGCTCATGAAGGATGATACGGATGTTCTTCTTGTGGACTTGTCATGGGTGTGGTTTACTTACCTGAAGTTGATGTGCATCAGAGATGTAGTTTGATGAAGAAGCCTTACGCTGCACATGAGCGGTTATGTGGTGTGGATCGTCATCTTTTGCAGTTTCTTTCGAAAACTGAACTCTTATCCGATCAGCTTCGTGTACACCCTCTTCGAGAGCAGATAAGTGCGATGAAGAAGTCCTGTTTGTACAAGAGTATAAGCTTTGCTATAGCATTATCATGTATAGTATACGATACGAATGTGGATGCATGACTTAAACTGCATTCCTATTTGCCTCATAGCAATGTATCCTCGTTGAGGTTCAGTCGAATCATGAAACCTCTTCCTCAGCATTTTCCACTCCTATACATACTGCATCTCATGGAGTCGACTAGGATGGTGTCTTCATTGCAATTGTCCACGTTGCGTTCGAATTTGCTGCTTTTATCTCCATCTGATATATCTCTTATGACATCATTGATTGATGCTTATTGCTGGGAAACCTATTCACTTGATCACGTGATCCAGAACATGCACACGTTTGACTGTGATCTTCTTTCCATACTGTATCAATTCACCAAGGTGGCGGTATCATGTAAGGAATTTTTGTAATGAGATATGATTTTGGCGGGCACGATGCTGATTGGTCAAATGTTTTTGGCGCGCTTGATGCTGATTGGTGAAATGTTTTTGGCGGGTTTGATGCTGATTGGTCAAATGTTTTTGGCGGGCTTGATGCTGATTGGTTGACACATATCTTATCATTTCAATCCAGCTCCCTCTCTGACTCGTATAGATACGAATGATTGTCCTGCAGTTGAGTCATTCGTTCATCAAATACAGTGCAGGCGAGTTGTCCTGACTTCACTTCCTAGAAGATGGCTTCCCTATACGAGCGACGGATGAAGAAGAATTCCGCTCTTCCTGCTGACCCTCCTCGAGTTGTGCTCTCCTCGAAGCCAGTACCGGCTAAGCGTCGCTATGTATCACCTGCTCCTACCAAGCTCCACAAAGAAATTGTGGTGGAATGGTTTCAGGAGGACATGTCCTACAAGTTATCGGGTAAATCCTTCTACAAACCTGGATGTGCTTCCCTTCGGGAGCTCTGCCAGCCTGTGGTAGTACGGCAACAGCTCGCAAAGATGCTCAAGGACAAGTTTACATCGCACTGAACGAGTCCACTGAGTTCATCATTACGAACTTGATCAAGACTTGTCCATCGCTCCGTGACACTCTCCGAAGTGGACGTGTGGAGAAGATCAAGAGCAACTTTTACACATCACGTTCGTCCGACGGACAATGTCGGGTGTACATCAACGGTGAAAACAAGCTAGTCCCGACCAGCTCGTTCGAACTGGATCGTCAGGCGAAATAGCACGTCATAGTACATTCGAGATCAGCGGGAAGAAGATGACGACGTTCACTAATTTAGTATCTGTGCACACGAATCTGCTGTGTGTGTTACTCTGTGTGTCAGCTATGGCATCATCGCCTGTGGTTCCATGCCTAGCATGTACGTCTGAACCATCCTGCAAAGTTTGAATGACGTAGGTTGAGCGATCGCTCCGCGAAACATACTTTTTGAAATTCTCTTCATTGTATATCTTCCACCACTGAAATTTCGAATTTCTTCGAATTTTTTTGATTAGAGGGGTGGCTTGCAACCTCGATATGGCTTGTTCCAGGCTTGCTTTGGAGCCATCGCCTGTTGAAACAGTGGCGGGCAGCTGCCCTGCAACTGTTCCAACAGGAAATTATTCGATCCGAGAAAGCGCGAGTCCGCGAGTCTCGGTTTAATATTGAGTATTTCAAGCCTTTTCACGACGAAGATGGAGTTCTTTTTGGAGATGGACGTCGCGGCAAAGGACATGGTGTCCGACTTCTGGCGTCTGGTGAAGCCAGGGATCATTTGTCCAGTCAGGTCGGCAGCCTAACCGTCGGTAAGCTTGTGTTTGGATCCCGTTCTGCTCGATGTGGTAGATCACAAACAATTTGATATCGCACAAATTGATCTCAGCATCGTGCGTACGGTATTTTATATTCAGAAAATCCCAAAGTGTCTCTGTAGCTGTGTGGCCGTCCTATGCCACGAGAAACTCCAATCACGCTCCTATGTCCTCTGCCTTCATGATTGAATGTCCACTTCGTTTGAACAACGAACACAACAATCGAGGACGGCTTTGCAATGAAAAATACAGCTATACTGGAGCTGAAAAAAAGAAGAAAAAAACGTGCTCAGGATGAGACTCGAGTACACGCATACTCTCCCAGCAGGTGAAACGCAAATTTTTGTGAAAAATGCGTGTCGCCGACTGACCAGTAATTTCGCCTGACGGTGGAACAAGATGTACTCATCTACCCCGGGGCAGTCTCCCTCGACACTGACGAGCAAGTGATGAAGGTACGTCTTGCTGTTGCTCCAATCATCTGCATCAACGTGGAACCCAGATGTTTTCATCGTGCTCTGGACAAAAACATATGACACTTTCTATCACGGAACTGAAACAGCTGACTGAGAGCTTCACATCATTATGCAGTGTCGTCGTCCAACAAGACGATCAACTGGTAGAGACCTTCCAATAAGTCTTTAATGAACTGCCTTCTTTACCACACAGCTAATCATTCATTCTTTTTCTATCCTATACTATCCTATACTGCTTTCTACGGCAAAATCTCATGATTATTATTATTTTGCTTGTTCGCGGTGGCATCAACCTTCATAAAGCAGGTATATAGCCTTCGCTTAAGCTGCTATAAAAAAGAAAGCTCATCCTAAGCGAGAGGGCTAGAGGAAAATATAACGATAACGAGATACAGAATACAAAGAAATCCAATGAGTTCAACATACAATTCAAAACAAGAAAGAAAGGAAAGAAAAACTGAGCCGAATCTACCGATTGATCCACCAATCGACAAATGGGGACTAATCCGTATCTCATGATACTCATTAAAAAAAAAAAACTTCTAAAGAACAAGTATGGGTGGTGTTGTGTCGAGTAGTACGTCCACTGAAGAGTGCTGCCTTGCCTCTTCGGACTCTAGTATCCCCACTGCTACTAGTGGAGAATGGGTTGCAGGATGTGAAAAGAATGGAACTGGGAAAGATGAACCAGGGTGATCTCATGTCCACACCATCAAGGAATGCGTCATCTGCTAGTACGAGTTGCTGACCATGTTCTTGCGACATACACAAAGGATGAAGGTGAATGCTCGGAGACTCGTCATGCCTTTGACATTGACCATTTGTTCGTTCGGGATTCGACATTGTTTCACGCGTGGTCATCTGCTTAACATGTTGCTATGAAGAGACCTGACATTCTTAAGCATGCTGTGAGCTTTACTGTTGGCGATGGTGATCGTGAACAAGCTGAACGACTTGAAAGTTGCATATGCGGCATCATGGAAGGTTTATGGAGTCATGCATCAAACGACATCGTTGCCCTGGAGATGACCTTGACATATTCAGTGACTCTATTGGACATGCTGGCACGGAAAGGCGATCGTGCGAAGGTGTTGTTAGCACGAGATTTCCTCATGGAACACATTCATGCTCAATCGAGGAGGAGGATGAACGGTTGACTCATCGAGATGTGGAGAAACTGAAATATGAGAAAGCCGATGAGAGCAAAGTGGAAGATGTGGAAAACAGATCTACGTGCTACACAGGTCAAGCCATAGCAACTGATGAGCTGCACGTTAAAACAGACGGATCCGTGTCCATGGATGCTAACCTCGACATGAACGAGCATTCCATCTGTAGTTTTGCGTACGATGATAGCTCTTTGACATGTGCTGTCCCTGCCGGTTGGGTCAAGAATGAAATTCGTCAATCATCATCGAGATTGCACCACGATATCGACGCTGTGCGCAAAATGGAAGGTCCTCATGGTGATCGGGGATTGGGATGGCTTAGCGGAGGTGGCATGCCATTGAACTCTATAGGGAGAAATGGTGACTTCTATCTCGATGCAACCACGCTCATCGTGTACAAGAAATTCAGCTCGAAATGGATGGCTTTCGGTCAGCTTCATGGATCAAGAGGTGAAGATGGTCCACGTGGAGAACGTGGATCGATCGGTCCCGAAGGTGAGACTGGAATTAGAGGAGCAAATGGGCAAGGTGGTGAACGCGGTCAAAAAGGTGATCAAGAAATACCTGGTCCAGAAGGTCCCAGAGGTGAAGTTGGAGAATGTGGATTAGTCGGTCCTGAAGGTGAGATTGGACCTAGAGGCGAAGATGGACAAGACGGCCCACAAGGTGAACGTGGTTTGCAAGGTGATCAAGGAGCCGTAGGTCCCGTGGGTCCCCAAGGAACCATCAGTGCAACTGGTCCTCCAGGAAACAGAGGTCTTGTGGGCCCCCAAGGAATCATCTGCCCAGGTCCTTCAGGAACCAGAGGCCGCAATCAAATCAGAACCTATCCGATCCATTTCATCTACTACCTCACATTCAGAGAAACGCCTACCTCTACATATACTCTCATCCTAGCAGATTTGAATCCGTCAACAGGGTGAGCAGAAAAAGAAACAGAAGGGAAAACTCATTGACTTAATGGACAAGAGAATCAACATGAACAGCATCGACATGTTCCGAGACGGTCACTTCTACCTCAACATTTCACAACGCAAGCAAGTTTCCATTAGAGAACGATTCGTCAATCTGTTTCACGACAACATGTCTTTTGCAATTTTCCAAATAATTCAAGTGGACGCACCTGTCCCTAGAAACATGTCATTGAAGACATTCGAGATCGATACTGTCGGAACCGAGCAGGACATCGAGACATTGTGTTTTCGTACTCTCGTTACACCAGCCGCATAAGTGTCTCGTTACCCAGGACTAAAAGGTGCTTGTTGAAGAAGGACTCGCCCGGATTGGTGCTGGGTGTGGGTGTCGCTGACCTGCACATTGATATTTGTTTGATATTTATTTATTTGTACCTTTGCAGCACTGCACAGTTTGTACGAGGACTCGGAGATTTATGCAGTGTATGTCTACAGCTTATTTGAATGCGTGCCTAATATGCAGTACTAGTCCCTTGTATAGTACGCGAGTTGCAGTGCGCGTTAGCATACAGGTGTGAACGCTACGCACTTTTCATGCAAGCTACCTTCTGGATTCTGTACTTGCTTTCATGCACGTGTCGCTGGCATACGCGATACGGGCCGGGTTTGTGTATTGGTTTTGAACCATGTGGTTCTTCTTTTCAGTTTTAGTTGTTCTTTGGTTGCTCCGCGAGTTGTTGCTTTGGTTGGAGACAAAGATGGCTTTCCGTTTCAATAATATAATGTAATTTAACTATAACTGATAGTATACTGTTGAGTGTTGGGATGCGTTGGGACCCCGACACCAATATTTGGCGACCACCCAGTGAAATTTGAATCGTGCATCGTAGCGTGCGGGCTTAGCATGGCCGAGTCCGAAGCCGAAGGGAAATTGCCTGGTGCTGGTGGAAGCGCTGAGGCTTTTGGATGGATGAAGCTGGAGACGAGTTACCTAAAGCTTGGCAAGGATTACGGGTATTCTGGCGAGGCACTGGTCTTCTTCGTGGAGCGCAAGCTCACCGAAGCAACCGATAGGGACCAGAGAGCACATGAGCGTGCAGAGAGAATCGCTGAGAAGGAGCTGGACAGTAGGAAGGAGTTCGAAAAACTCCAGGCCGCGAGTAATAGTGGCAGTAACGACGTGCAAAAGTGCCCCCAGAAGTTGGACGTGCCGAAATGCACCGACAAACAGGACATCCGGCGTTATTTGATAACATTTGAGGCGGTTGTTCAGCAAAATGGCTACGAAAAATCGACATGACATGGTTGTTGGCCCTCCGTTTGGCTGCGATGGCGACAAGGCTTGAACCGGTGCTGGATCATGTCACAACTTATGAAAGCGCTAAAGTTCAAGTGACACGTAGTTTTGGCAAGACTGCCGAGAAGACATAGTTCGAGCTCTTGTCTCTGCATCAGCAGACGGAGGACACGTTTTTCCGGTACGTAACCCATGTAATGCAACTGGTGCAAGAGTGGGCATCGCTATCTGGAGGGCCGCAGGGCCAGAAGCAGAGCAGTGGGAACAGTGAGATGTTCATGGCAATCGTCCGCCAATTCGTGCTCCAGGGATGCTCGCTTGACCTCCGTGCGTACTTGCTGGAAAACAAGATCGGCGAGAAAACGTTTGAAGAGATCACAGAACTGGGTACAGTGTATCAGGAAGCCCATGGTGTACGTTCTGGGTCCGACCAGAAAACCATGGCGTTGGAGTCCGAGGGTGCATCAGCACGGTGCTTCAAGCTGTCTACTGCCGATGACGAGAACAAGCTCCACAGCATGCCTGTTGCTCAGCGCCGCGAGTATGCGCAAACCAATGGCCTTTGCTATCGTTGCCTGCGGACAGGGCACAGCCGGAGAATGTGTTCTAGTAGTGTTTCTTGCAGCAAGTGTGGCAACAAACACCATACCCTGCTTCATGATAACAGTAGCAATGGTAGCAGTGATTTCAGCTATAGCAGCAGCAACAGCCACAGCACCTCAGCTGCTACAGGCAATGCCCTTGGCGTCTCCTAGTGTTTGACAGCCGACACAATCTCCCTCTCACGTAGCGATGCATTGTCAACTGCCACTCTGGAAGACATGGACGAGGCGCACCCCATTGAAGTGCATAGCAGCGACATTTGATCCGCTCGACTTGGTGTCACCGGCAGTATTGACAGCAAGATCCTCCTGCAAGAGGCCTGGACGGAACAAGGCAAGTGGGATGATCCGCTTCCTTCTCCGCTCGCCCAGCGACAGGCAACGGTTGGACTTGTAAAACCTACACTAGGTTTTAGTGGGGAGGATGTCGCTGACCTGCACATTGATATTTGTTTGATATTTATTTATTTGTACCTTTGCAGCAATGCACAGTTTGTACGAGGACTCGGAGATTTATGCAGTGCATGTCTACAGCTTATTTGAATGCGTGCCTACTGCGCAGTACTAGTCCCTTGTATAGTACGCGAGTTGTAGTGCGCGTTAGCATACAGGTGTGAACGCTATGCACTTTTCATGCAAGCTACCTTCTGGATTCTGCACTTGCTTTCATGCACGTGTCGCTGGCATACACGATACGGGCCGGGTTTGTGTATTGGTTTTGAACCATGTGGTTCTTCTTTTCAGTTTTAGTTGTTCTTTGGTTGCTCCGCGAGTTGTTGCTTTGGTTGGAGACAAAGATGGCTTTCCGTTTCAGTAGTATAATGTAATGTAACTATAACGGATAGTCTTCTGTTGAGTGTTGGGATGCGTTGGGACCCCAACACGAATAGTGGGCACTATTCTCAAGCCATACACGATCGTGGGATCTCACACTTTCCCATTCGCTTTCGATCTGACAAAAGACAGACGACTTGTTCTGCTCTACACCGACCTAATTGGACCTGCTGTGAAGTACGAAGACAACACTGATCCGAGGGTGTTGAAGACCTTTCTCATTCAACCCCTCAATGGTGTGAATAACTATGTGTTTGGAAAAGAAGACAAGCAAATGCTGCTTCCACACGAAAACGTGACTAGAATTTCGTTTTGGTTGAAATTCAACACCGGTGAATACATCACTTCCGTATACCCCGTCTACCTTGATCTTCGAATCACGAACACGACTTAGATGGATCTTCCAGATGTTCGTGTCCGTCACGTGCGAGACATGGTGGAGGATATAGCAAAACGAAAAGAATTGGAGAGCGAAAAAGTGCGTTGCCTGGAGAAGTACATGATTTACAACACCGCAATCTTGTCCTTTCTCATATTCAGTCAAACAATTCTCAACATTCTTCAAGGGAGTGGTGTCGTATCTGGAGAAAATCGCATTCGAATCATCGCCATCAGTAGCACGATCATCGGCGTGATCATGGCATGCATAGGCAAACACGTTCTCGACACCAAACGTCAGCTTATCACTTGTATTGAACAACTGCAGCAGATGGAGAGAGCTGAAGACGCGTACATGTTGGAATTGGGCATCACTCTGGAAGATTGGAAGCTCACTAACGACGAGCATCAACGATTGATAGCAATAAAGAACGACTTTCGCAAGACACTGGATATTGGATCGTTAAAAAAAATCGCCCCTATTATAATGTGACTCGCAAGAATGGCACAGGAGATATACTCACCACAAGCTCCGGAGTCCTTCACCGGACTCCTGACCAACACGAAGATCGTTCAGAAGAATATCCTCGACAGGACGGAGAAGAAACTCTCGTTGCTTGAGGGTAGACGCGGAGTACGACTCTTTTCCACAGCAGATCGATCACCACCATCCCTGAACAATGAACTGGACGCTGGACATCTCGTCACCGAATTGTATTGCTCTGGGGGAGAGCTATTTCATCGTGAAAATGCGCTATACTGTCAAAAACAATCTTGATAATCAACCTGGAGACTACACGCGATGGGTGTGCACCACGTCACCAGCCTTTTCATGGTTCAAGAACATTCGAGTGGAGATCAACGGAACATAGTATAGACTTGGACATAGTACCAAGGCCGCTCAACTCCGTGCCGTTGCAGCAAGAGTAACGCGGATTCGTGTGCGAATTGGTATGATCGACATCAGCATGTTTGCTGGCTCTGCTCGAGCTGCTGATGTTGAAGTGCAGAGAGACGCAGCCTCACCGCTCCGGCGTGCGGAGAAAGTCATCTGAGTTCGAGCTGTGGCTGTGTGCACGATATGATAGACTTTCACATTATGCACATAGCCACCAAAGTAAAATTCATGGACACTATCCACGGGCTACTTCACTAGTACTTCTCCATCAGCTCCCTCTTCACTGTCGTCGGCGACTTGCCCCTGCGTTAGAGATGAGCATGGTAACAGTGCATTGCGTAATGCTCTTGGCCATATGCTGCTGTTGAGCTGGTTTTACAGATGAAGAATCTGAGAGACACAATGGCTAGTTGTCTATTCTTTCCGTGTGCTTAGTCTGGCTTCTTGCATGCCTACATTGGCGCAGTGAACAGGCACGGATTTGTCGTCATGTCCGCTCCCAAAGGCAGAGCGCCGAAGGAATTTGTACCTGACTTTTCCAGCAACATCGGAGCCGATTTCGAATTGTGGCTCGAGGACGTTGATGATTACCTGAAAATTTGTGGAGTTACGACGGCAGCTGATAAGAAGAGGCTGTTTCTGAACCTTGCAGGCCTCGCTGTCAGGCGTATTGTTAAAGGAATCGTAGTTCCTACTCCACCAGCTCAGGCCGATGGCAGTGCCGGTGTGAGTACAAAGCTCTGACGGATGCTGTGATTGCTCATTTTCGTCCTGCCACAAACACAACGTCGGAGCGCCACCGGTTCCGTCAGCTTCGCCAGAATGAGGGTGAGTCTGTCACATCGTTTGTGGGACGCCTGCGCGAAGCAGCTGATTGCTGTGAATTTGCGTCTACTGCCGTGGACACCATTGATCAGGGACAAATCCGTGACCAGTTGATCGAGGGCCTGCGATCCCAGGAGCTACGTAAAGAACTTCTCAAAGAGTCAAAATTGACACT